TCGATCTCTTGACCTCGTGATCCACCCGCCTCGGCCTCCCAAAGTGCTGGGATTACAGGCTTGAGCCACCGCGCCCGCCCTCTGTTCTTATTTATATAAGCCCGTTGTAAGTTTATTTGAGGGCAAAGTGAAAAACATTGGTGACTGTAAAAGTGATGTTGTGATTATAGTAAGCTGGAATTTAAACTTAGAACACAGTGTAAGCCTTGCCAAGTTGATACTTTACATTCTTTCAGCTATAACTACTCTGGGTTATTCAAGGAATAATGAGTTGTTATTTTACTTATTCAGTCATCTGGTGACCTGTAAATCATTTCTGTATGTTAGAGAATTAAGGTAGTTGTGTTTCCTTTTTAATTGCAAACCACACTAAGCATAAGTAGAGCTCGATTAAGGTAACCGTTAGCCCCCACTTAATAATAATCACTATGGGTACCTTGCTGCCTTGATCACAACCATAGATTTCCTTCTCCCTTGACCCATGATATATATATATTTTTTGAGACAGAGTTTTGCTCTGTCACCTAGGCTGGTCTCAAACTCCTGGTCTCAAGTGATCTTCCCACCTTGGCCTCCCAAAGTGCTGGGATTACAGACGTGAACCACTCTGCCCAGCCCCATGATATTTTTAAAACCTGAGTCACCCATATTCTGACTTTTCTACTGTTGCCCCAATCTCACTGCTTAGTATATAAACCAGAATAAAGGTGGTCTTCACTTCCATCTAAGCCCTACTGTTGTGGATTTACAGAAAATACCAATCTGTACTGAGACGTAGAAGTTTTGAGTAAACAGAGATGCCATGTTCCTATGTCAGAAATGTAAAAGTGTGGATTTACCCCTAGTTATTGCAGTCTTTGTAGTGACATTAGAAATCCTAATTTGAACAATATTTGGTGGTTGTCAAAATGATTCTCAAATTTATCAGAAAGGTTAAGAGGAAAGTAACAAAAATAAACAAATTGGAAGTATTTATTTACCAAATACTGAAATATTAACTACTAGCAGCAGCTTTATTGTCACGGGAATAGTGGAAAAGAATGGAAAATGCAGAAGCAAGCCAAAGAATAGATGAAAATATAGTGTAAATTAAAAGTTACATTTAATTTAGTAGGGAAAGAATGCATTACTCAGTAATTATTAGCTAAACATTTGAATAAAATTAATTACACTTATCAGTCACACCATACACAAAAATAAATTCCAAATGGTAAAATATTTAAGTGTAAAAATAAAACTATTTAAAACCATCCTTCCCCACAAAAAGAGTGATTACTTACATAATGTTAGGAGTGAGAAAGTCTTCCTTTACATAGCTGCAAAGGTCAAATATATAAAGGAAAAGATTCGTGAATTTGACTACATACATTTTAGGTTTTTTTTTAAATAACAGTTTTCTTATGATTTATTGCTTTCTACTCCGTGACATGATGTAAAATATATGCTCGGTTTGTTCCACCAGTATTATTCTGCATAATAGTTTCTTAAAACAACCTCCTTTTGCCAAATGCCATTTGAGTTTCTGTACTCCTGTTTAGCAAGAATTTTTTTAATTTGAATATATTAGAGATTTCTTTCAAAGATCACAAATATGTTTCAAGTAGTGATATATACATTTTCTGAAAAGAGGGTATAGTTAATTCTGTCAGTATCAAATCATATCAGCATGTGGTCTTCCTAGTGTGGTATTAACATGCCTGTTTTAGATTTCAATGTCTGAAATGAAAGTGACTTTTAATTGAACATCTGTCTGCTCTACTAATAAGCAGATATTTTTGCCTCATTGCTTCTTCTGATCACTTTCTTAATTTATAAGAATGCCCAAGTGTTGTGAGGTCGAGCTACTTATATCACTCCTGCCCCTGGTTGAGCTTACTGCTTTTTTCTTTCTCTTTCCAGGTATCTGGCATAATTTTGTCCTTGCGCTCTTGGGTATTTTAGCTCTTGTTCTCCTCCCAGTAATTCTTTTACCATTTTACTACACTGGAGTTGGGGTGCTCATCACTGAAGTTGCTGAGGTAAATAATGGATTACTCAGGGCATTCTTTCATCAGATGTTGTGGTGTAATACTTAGCATTTAATCAGGAAATTTTATTCAAGATCTCATATATAAAAGTTTCTTCTGAAGAAATTACTATAATCCTTTCAAATCTAACAAATAACGTTGGGAAACACGTTGCATTCTTAAAGTTTCATGAAAATTGTTTTTTTCCTGATACTGTACTTACAAAGATCGTATCACGATTTTCTACCTGTAGTTTATTAGTAAAATGCATCATTTACCTTTACCATTTATTTTTATATCTCTGCTTTTGAGTCAAATGTCTTTACGCCTCCTAAGTAATAAGAAAGATGAAACCCAGGCCATCCAGCTGTAACATTTCATAGGGGTTTAAGTTAATGTCTTCAACTCTGTATTTCAGTCCCTTAGACACTAACTGCTATGATGGTATCAAATCTTCTATTCAGACATTAGGAAGAGGAAAATTACGTTTGTGAGCAATTGGCTTATATATACCTTTTACTGATGATATTGTCTGCATATTCGGGATATGTAAGAACTTGTCTTATTGTTTTATGTGTTAAGGATTTAGGAAAGGAAAAGCAGTCTAATGATACTTTCACCAAAAAAAATTTAATGCAGTTTGGGAAAAAATTTCATCATTTTAGTCTTAACAGTCTGCAAGCAAGTCAGTTTT